ACAGGACAACAATTTTAAAGAGAAAAATGAACCCAATATGAAGATATATCAGTAAGAGAAATAAGCATGAAGAACTAATCAAATATGAGGCCAAGATTTTAATTTGGGTGAGAAGTTAAGACAGTCTGTGGTTTCAGAAGAGAAAGGTCATGAGTTTAGATTAGGATCTCTTGAACAGGGCTTGTGGGTCATTCATCTTTGTGTTGCAGCCCCTAGTACAGCACCTGATACTCAACGCCTGTTCTTCAGATAAATGCCATTGAGAATTTGAGATGGTGGGAAGTATCCCATAGGATTATGTTTTCATCATTCAAAGGTACAGAAGTATAGGATGGCCTTGGGGTCTGGAGACATAGCAAGAATATATAAGTTAGGGTATTGTGATATACACAGTGACATTATTTACATGCCCACTGCATTGCTCCTCTTGAGAAGTACACGTTCAATGAAAATGGCAGTGAAAGTGGCACAAAACGTAGCCTTTCCATCAATGCATATGTACCTGTCATACCTCTCCCTAGAAGATTTGTGTCTCTGGTTTTCATAAACAAACCTGTAACTTACTCAGGAGGAAGTGATCAGTAGAGTTCAACTTATGAAAAAAATTAAAAAAAATTAAATAACCAGCTTCCTTTCTCTACTTTTGAAACAACAATAGAACGTCATGAGAAGACAAAGGTGGAGGTATAGAACGCTGGCCCTCAGCAGAGAGGTCAGATTCTCAGAGCTGATGTTGTGACAGCTGATGACTTTCTCAAGGGAGTCCGTATAAGGAGAGAAGAGTCAGCAGCCAAGGAAAGTCTGGGAGGTGGTGTGAGGAGAGCCTGGACGGGGGGATCCTGAACACGGGTAAAGATGGAGCAGGTCACATCATGGTCACTGCAGTGAGCAGAATGACTTGTCACAGAGATTTCAACTTATGAACTGACTTCTTCCAGTTTCAGTGGAGAGGTGGGGAATGGAATACCACGTTGGAGGGAGTGAATCATGAGGATGTGGAAACATGTAGATCACTTGGCATTTGTGGAGGGGTTTGGTAGTGAATGAAAGGTGAAGACAGGGACGGTATCCACAGCAGCATCTGCTTAAGTTTACGACTTTTTTTGAAGCTAAGGAAGACCTGTGTGTGTGTGTGTGTGTGTGAGAGAGAGAGAGGGAGAGAGAGAGAGAGCGAGCACGCCAGTAAACAAGAAGAGACCGTCGACGTTGGCAGAAGAGTGGGAGGAATTAAATCAAGTTCCCCTAGGATTGGCAGGAAGGAGATTGCAACACGATTTTCTACCTCAGTCTTCACCTCTGTCTTTGTAACCAAACTGTAAAACTGTTAGAGCATTTACATTCTTCTGAAGCACTACTGAAATACTCTAGGATATAACTGATTCAATAAGTGGAATTAACACTTCAAGATTGATTTCCTCTATTGAGTTTACCCACGTTTGCCTCTTCTCACCTTAAAAGAGTTCGTATAATATTCTGTCACCATCAGTTAATATGCTGTGGGAAACTGCTTCTATGTCAGGAATTAAAGACAGTGCAGGCTGACTGGTTTCTACTATAAATTCCTAGGAATTACATTTTACTTATTACAGTAGAACTTTGAAAATGCTGTCTTGGGAATTATTCCATATAGATTTCCATGACTCCCAAGTGCAAGCCCAGAAATCTATTACACTCAGTTTTTCTGTTCCTTCTATCTTATAAAACATAAAAGAAGAAATTAGAGAAGAAAGTTTCCACTTAAGTGGATTGCTAAATGAAGTGCTACATGAATAGGAGGTTAATCACAACTGATGATTTGTGCCATTACTTTGGGAGGAAAAATGACAAGATGGCATAATTATTTCAAAGTTAAAAAATACATTTAAAAATATCTGGCAGTTGTGGTTCATTGGTACTTGGGGTCAGACTGGACTCTGTGATCCCTCCAAGAATTTCTGAATGATCAAAACTATAGCAAGACACATTAAATGTTTATGGCTCATTTAATTTTTGTTATATTTTTGAAATTCAAAACAAAAATTACCCCTTTCTGTGTTTTGTAATGGTAAAGATGTCATATCATTACAATCACAGTGTGTGAATGTATTGTAGTGAAGGTATTGAATGACTGTTGAAATCCATGAACTGCTAAGAGTTCCCAGTGAGAAGGAGACCAGTGAGCTATCTTTGTATTAATACTCTATTTGTTAACAAGTTTTGATGAAAGTCATAGATATCAGTTTGAAGGAACATGCTGTTACTGGGTTAGTCTTGTTTGTTCATTAATCTAATAATTCATCAGAGAGCATTTAAAAGTGCCTATAATGTGTCACCTACTGTGAAGGGCTCTGGGGAAGAGAAATATCAACCCATTGCAATTTGCTGCCTTTTATTAGAAATAATACCTGGGGCAACAATGGTGTATCTTCAAGAACTTAGAAACTGAGCTTTCCTCTGAGAACTACATTTTGATTCAGCATTAAATAGTTTGGGGTTGCAATGAGCAATTAGTGCGAAGACAAAGACTTCTGAGGGAGCCTGTCCCAGTCAAGGTGTTCTCATACACAAGAGGCTGACAGTCAGCGTGTCAGGAGCTGAAAACTGAGACAGTCATGACTGCCACCCCCAGGAGTCCTGCCCTTTCCCAGCCACCCTGGAGTTCCCCAAACCCAGCAGCTGGCAGAGCAGGGGGCCTCCAGCTTGGCTGAGCCCATTTGAATGGGTCCTTAGAGACTGGGCCTTCCCTGGTGGTGCTAGTGGTAAAGAACCCACCTGCCAAGGCAGGAGACACAAGAGATGTGGGTTGGATCTCTGGCTTGGGAAGATCCCCTGGAGGAGGAAATGGCAATGCACTCTAGTATTCTTGCCTGGAGAAACCCATGGATAGAGGAGCCTGGTGGGCCGCAGTCCATGGTGTCACACAGAGTCAGACACAACTGAAGCCACTTAGCAGACGCACACATTAGACACTTGGAGTAGTCTCCCTGAATAATCCAACCCACAAACTGTGGATCATTTGATCGCTGATGGATCTTCAGATAGAACCAGAGTCCCAGAGGCACAGGGGGCCTAACAGAACAGTGCCTGGATTAGAAGGTGCCCCGCCATGACCCCATCACGCGCAAGAGGCTTCAGACTCTGAATCCAATACACAGTGTCCCTCTCCTGATTCATGTTTACTCCCTTCATAAGTGCTGGCTGCTATGACAAAACTACATAGACAGAGTGGCCTCAACAACAGACATTTATTTCTCACAGTTCTAGAGGCTAATAAGTCTGAGATCAAGGTGTGATTTGAAACCTGGTGAAGGTCTACTTCCTGATTCATAGATTTCCATCTTTTACTGTGTCCTCATGTGATAGAAGGTGCCAGACAGCCCTCTGAGGTCTCCTTTAGAAGGGCACTAATCCCTTTCCTAAGAGCTCCACCCTCATGCACTAATCAACCCCCAATACCCTCCCCCTGCCAGTATCATCACATTAGAGGATGAATGCCAACCTATGCATTCTGAGAAGCACTCACCAAGCCTGGTGGGCAGACACCGGTATATACTAGGGACTGCCAAGTACAGTTGTGAGAATGAAGAACAGGCCTCCTGGGTTTATGGACTAATCTCTTGAGAGCCCTGGTAATGAGCAAATGCCCTCAAGCTAGGTCAACTGGGTGATGCTGACAAGTTAAGAGATTCTGGGCCTGGGCTGAGGGTGGCATCTCAGACTTGCAGACTCTGCCTGCTTCCCCTCCCCCATTCCCGGGAAGTTCTCACAGGAAGAACCAGTCGACCTTTCTGATCATCTCAGCCTGCTGACTGCGAACAAGAGACAGAGGCCAGCCTGGGGATGAAACCCGCAGAGCAGGTGGAACCCAGGGTACAGGCAGGAAGGAGAACCAAGCTGTTGACCTCATTCTGTTCCTCTACCACTAATAGTTTTGGGGAAAAAAAATTCTACGCCAGCAGCCTCAACTTCCTTTTTTTATTCTATTGTCTGTTTTCACCATTCCGCAGAAACTGCTCTCACTGAAGTCACAATCTGCCAAATTCAACCCCATTTCCACTTTCTTGTGATGTTTCCTCTGCCTGTGATGTTGGTCTTGAAAGCAGGAATGAATGTTTCCACCAGTGTCTATCACAGAGCACAGTGACTGATTCCCAGAAAGCATGCAATACATTTTATTGAAAGAATGAATAATTGTTATTGATGAAGGAAAGACAAGCATCATCTCTTGTCTGGACTCCCATAGCATTTTGCTTAAGATCTTCTGTGGTCATTTATTATTCCTCATTTGTGTTCCCAAGGGGTGTAGAGCATCCATTGGCTCCCGGCCTAGCACAGGGCTTGGCATATAATAGATGCTCAGGAAAAGTCTGTGGCATAAATGAAGCTTGGAACTGGTGTGACTCAGCAATGGTGCTCCAGTTACTCCAATGATTTGTAATAAATCACCCCAGGATGTAGTGACTTAAAACAATAATCACTTATTATTTTTCCTCATGGTTTCTGCTTTGCCAAGAATTCAGGAAGGCTTGCTCACATGGCTGACAAGTCTGTGCTGCCTCTTGGCTGGGGTCCCGTGTTCCCCTCCTTGCAGGCCTCTCCATAGGGCTGCTTAAGCATCATTAGGACGTGACAGGTGGTCTCCCCCCAGGCAAGTGCTACAGGTCAGGGTGCAAACCCCAGTGCCTCTTGTGACCCGGCCTCAGGAGTCCCATGCTATCCTGTCCCCGTATTTCACTCGGTCAGTCCTCATCCAGCGTGGAAGGAGACTTTGCAAGGGCCTGGGTATCAAGAAGTGAGGATCATTAGAACCATCTTGGAAACTGGGAAGGGTACAGGATTAGCCATTGGAAAACAAAGTTTCAAACTGAGGCAAAGCTACTCCCTAGGCATTCATCTAAAGGCAGTTGTGAGCTCTGAAGCCTGGAAGAAACTGTTGTGGCTCTCTGTGAAGAGGCGGCCATCAGCATGGATGCCATGCAACATCCAGGCCCAAGTTCTCTTCCAATGGAGTTGCAGACAGTCTAGGAGAAGTGACTCTTTAACCTCGCAAACAGCACAGCCATCTCCTGGGACGCCAGTCTGCAGCCTGGGGTCGGTGAAGACTTGAGCAGCCTACACTCGTCTCTGGGCAGAAGTGAGACTTGGTTCTTCTGCTTACTGAGGCTGCCATCGCGGCCTGCTAGACTGGATGCTTGCCTCTGGGTCTCCCTGCAGCCTCTCTGGCGTGTCCCTGGGCTCGGAGACAGCACCTCTGCTGGTTCTGCTGTGTTCTCCAGGGGCATCTGTGCTTTGAGAAGCCTGGGGGAGACCCACTCCCACTGCATGCCTCGGGGAGTCTTTCCACAAGACGAACAGTAACTGTAAAAGAGAAGGGCAGAAACCCTGAGGAACCCACAAGAATCACACATTCCCCGGCTGTGCATTTAATAACAAGCATCCTTTTGAGCTGGCCAACAGTCCAAAATGTGTTTACATACCCATTTCTTACTGTCACTGTAGTGCTTTTAGGTGATCGGATAAATTTAAAGGGCTATAAACAAGAATTATATAAAATAATAACAAATACTTAATGGTAATAATTGGAAAAAGGAAACGTGGGGCTACATATCTATTTGTATTCACAGAAAATAAAAAATAACTTTGGAGGTGATAGGCAAAGTTTCTTTTCCTTTTTTGATTGAGGTAAAAAAATTCCTATATTTAATAGCTTTTATGCCAATTTTCTTTAAAAATTTTGAATGTTTTGTTTTCTTGAAGTGTAGCTAGAAAAGATCTTTTCATTTCTATTTTCAGCACAGTGTCTGAAATGAAAACCCAAAGTATAGGTCTAAAAGCTGTTGACTTGTTCAAGACTCTAATCACTGTTACTGAACAAATGTTATTACTTTTTAAATTTAAACATGACTCTATTTTTAGTCTACAGGCTGAATTTATTTGCATATTCATGCAAATGATGATTTACTACCAAATTCTTATCAGGTTAATTTCAACCTGCCTCCACTGTTATCTTATTATACACTAATTAAACACTCATAAATTCTATGAACATTTACTTTTGCTTTATTAATAATTTTCATGTGATTGAATAGAGGAATTTAAGCTATGAAAATACTCAGTACTGGATATGGCTCTAGAGTCAGCCTTTGAATTGTAAACTGTTTCTTAGAAATAAATGAGTCCTTTAAAAACGTTAAACTTCTCTTTTAGCAAATCACCATACTGCATGAATTGTAGAATGTACAGTTTTTCATATCTAAATATCTCTGGAATAAGATGCACATAGAATCCGTTGCTTCTTAGACTCTTTGGATACGTTGTGTTCATACTTTGGGATTTTAGCCAAACACTCCTGTGGCCTGCAAATGGCTACAGAGGAAACGTGATGGACACAGCCAGGGCAGCTGACTCCCCAGGTCTGCCGAGGGTGTCAGTTGCTTCTCCCTGTACTGTTCCCGGCCCAGGGACTGAACCTGGGTCTCCTGCATTGCAGGCAGATCCTTTACCATCTGAGCCACCAGGGAAGATTTTTCCTCTTAAAACAATAAACCAAAAAGTGTCTCCTTGGAAATAATGGCAATGGAGCTGCTTTTGTTAAAAGAGAGTGATTTTTTAAATAACATATTTATTTTACTTTTTCTTCAGTCCCCAAGAGCTACTGAGACATTACCTCTAGACATGACCTCTAACTCCTGAGGTTAGATAAAATGGCCTTTGGTCTGCCTTTTCCTTTTATTTGAAAAGCTCTTAAAGGAAACGTATAACTCTGTTAAAGTCCCTAAGACACAACTCACTATTAAAAAAAAATTATGGCACATATGTCTTGGATTCTAGTCAAAAAAGTTTAGATCCTGAAGTACGTGACTATTGCCTCACCCTTCAAGGACATGGCTGAAACCGTGACGAGGTGGGAAACAGCTACACTGGAACATGGCTATAGTATCTGCAGAGCTTAGGATAGCTTCTGGGTGCAGGGAGTCAGAAGTTACAGGCCACTAGGATAGTAGTTTCTCCTCATTACATGTATATTTATTTAATTACTGAACTCAATATTCTTTGAAGATTCACTGAGTGAATACTGATTAGAGTTAATATGTATTGATTAAAAATTAATATGTGCATGGCAATGAGTGTTGAATTTTTTTCCTATGAAACAAAGACATGCTTCTTTGGTGTCAATGAAGGAATGTTAAATACTTTCAAAGGTAGGAATAATGAGAAAGTTTAGGTTTTCAGGTAAGGTAATTCCTGTGTACAGAACCTAAAAGATGAAAGACCTCCAGAATTAACTTTCTTAAACACATATATCAGACACAGTGTGATCAATCACTGCTTCCAAACTTACTTTTAAAAGTCACTACTTACGGTTTTTGGCAATAGTTCATGTAAATTACATTCTTTAGGAAATATACCACACAATGGCACAAAATCTATAGCCCCATAAAAACTGATATATTTGCCAAAAGGTGGTGGAAAAGGTAAAGACTTAATTGCAGCAGTTATATATACAAATATATACAGGCTCTCACAGATGTTTTTAATTATGCCATCATTTGTGTAACAAGCTACTGCAAAATTCAGTGACTTTAAATAGTATCCCTTTTACTGTTTTTACTATTTTGAGGGTCAGCAATTTGAGCAAGACTCTGCTGGGTGGTTCCTTTGTTCCTCACGGCATCAGTGGAGGTCACTAAGAGGTCAGCAGGCAGATGGACGAGTCTGAAGGATCCAATAAAACCCAGAAGGATGCAGCAAGGGACCCTGGAAGGTAGGACCCCCCAGCTGGCACTGGTGACCAGAAGACAGACAGGGTGGCCTTTCCAGCGCGGTGGTCTCAAGGGAGTAGAACTTCTTAAATGATAGTTCAGGGCTACACAAGAGGAGGTTCCCAAGGCCTCAGGGGAAGATGCAAGGTTCCTTATACCTTAACCTTGTAAATTCCAGATATCCTGGAAAACCCTCCATATTCTGTTTTCCAAAGCAAGCCACTGGGGTCAGCCTTGATTCAAAAGGTGGAGAGTTAGACTGTCCCTCTCAATGGGAGGAGAGCAAAGAACATGAGGCCAATTCTAACTTACACACATCTAGACCATTTGCTGGAGCACCTGAGCACAGCAACTGGCACTAAACTTTCTTTTCTAGGATGCCCACGGCTAGACGGACACCATTTCCTTCTGCGCCATGTTCGGGTCCTCGGCCAATGGAAGACAACGCCAAACTCCCAGATCTGACCATCTGGACTCCCGTGTGCCAGTGCTGCCCATTTCCCTTCACTAAGCCCTACGGCCAACAAGACTTTTTATGTGTCCGTCTGTTTGTGTGTCTGTTACTTCCTAGTTTCAGGTCACTCGTGGATCATAGTAAGTCAGGGCTACAAGGGATGCGGAAGAGAGAATCGAGTCCTGTTTTACAGAGGAGGAAATTAAGGTTTAAAGTAGCTTGAGACCTGGCCAAGGTCAGAAACTGATTATGGGCAGAGCCGCAGTTGGCAATGCTTGAAGAGAAGGCATCCTGACTTACCCGTGGAATGGGCATCCTGTTCGCCTCTTCTCGCCCTAGAAGCCGCCCATCATTGTTGATGAAGTCTAACCCTAACCCTAACTCCTATTACATCACGAAACATTTAGAAAGAAACTGTTTATTTCAAGCACCGCAACTTAGTCTCATACATTGGACTTGTATACAAGTCAGCAGTCAGCAGAAAGGGTCCGCAGGTGCAGGCGTAGCCCCCTCTAGTCCGAAGGTCATGATACAAAGTTAACAGGAGCCACTTGTTCTATCAGACCGTGCTGTTTTACCTTTGAAAGTGAAAGTGAAAGCGGCTCGGCCGTGTCCGACTCTTTGTGACCCCATGGACTATACATGGGATTCTCCAGGCCAGAATACTGGCCTTTTCCTTCTCCCAACCCAGGGATGGAACCCACTGGATCTTCCCAAGCCAGGGATTGAACCTGGGAAGCCCGCTTTAATTACTTCTATGATACCCTTTCCCTGGCTGTCCCTTCCATTTCAGAACAGACAAGGGGTCAGGGTTCCTGAGTTTTTATTCCATCCTGAGCACTGATGCAGAGTGGGTATTAGCGAAACCATGCACGGATGCGTGTGAGCGGCTGGTGGTTCTCGCTGCTTTTGCCGCCTGGATGAGGTGGCTACAGCTTTGACTTTCTATGTCCGCGACGCTGCGAGTGGCTGCCCAGACGCAGTCCCCGTAGCTCGGGTTTTCTGTGGATGTGCTGCCCGGTCCCCAGCAGCTGCGAATTCTTGCCGCGGCCAATCCATCTTTCCCTCCAGGACCCGCCGGGAGAGAAGGCGGGGTGCGGACGGGAATCGCCTGCAGACGGCAACACCTCCCCCGACCCGGTCCAGGCCCGGGGCGGGTCGGAGGCCGAGGGCAGAGGGCCTTCCGAGGGGCAGCGCGGCGGGAGCAGCGCGCGCCGGGCCGGGAGGCGGGAGCGATGGGCGGGCTCGGGCGCGGGCGGCGGCCCCGGGGCCGCGGGCTCCTCCCCGCCCTGCGCCCGCCGCTCGCCGCGCGCAGGCAGAGCGGGCCGGGCGCCGAGGTGCCGCCCAGCGCCCCGGCCGCGGCCCTGCCCGGGCCCTAGCGCCGCCGCCAGCCGGAGCCTGGAGCCGGCGCCCCGCTGCCCCGCCGCGCCCCGCGCCCGCCTCTCCGATGGGCAACCTGCTCGGCGGGGTCAGCGTGCGCGAGCCCACCACCGTGGAGGACTGCGACTCCACCTGGCAGACGGACTCGGAGCCGGAGCTCGAGGAGCCGGGGCCGGGCGGCGGCGAGGGCCCGGGGCGGGAGCCCGTGCAGCCCCCAGAGCCCGCGGAGCCCGCGGAGCCCCCGGAGCGAGCCGGCGGCCGGCCCCGCGCGGGCCCCGCGCCGGAGCCGGACGCCGAGGCGGCGGGCTCAGAGGAGGTAGGCGGCCGCCGGGGCCTCGGGCCGGGAGGGGGGGGGGGAGGCGGGGGGCGGCCGCGGGCGACCCCCGAGCGCAGAGCCCGGGAGCGGGCGCGGGCGCGGCGGCTCGTCGTCCTGCGGCCGCCCCGGGACCCCGGCCCTGCGCCCCGGGGCCGCCCCGGACGGCCTGGGGCCTGAGCGCGGGCACCGGCTGGCGGGCCCCCGGGCAGAACCCAACTTGGCGGGGTGTCTTCCCAGCCTCCGCAGCGCTGCCGGGTGATGGAAGGCGGGGTGGGGGCAACCTGCCTGAGACTAGAGGATGGTGAAAACCCGTCTAGTGCGTGTTATTGATTAAAAAAAAAAAATCACCCAGAATGAGGTGGGGGCAGCGAGCCCTCTCTGTAGCGGGCTCTCCAGTCTTTAGGAATCTCTGGAAGGCTGAAGGGAAAATGCCAGAGTTCCTAGTCCAAGTCAGGCCTTCAAACCCAGGAGTTCAGGGCATACTCCAAACATCTTTTTTTCACCCAGAAGACTTGTTGATCCAGATGTGCTGAAGTCATCTGCCTACTTCAGTTCGGAGGAGACGTTAGTCACCCTTCTAACCTCTGATGGACTGAATTAGGAAACTTTAGAAGGGAGGACCTGCATGGCCAAGCCTCTGAAGGGCGCCCAGTTCAGCTCTAACAGGCGGGGGGTACTGGGTCAGGCCCTCCTCCCGATCAGCCCTGAGGGGAAGAGGATGGGAAATGGAGCCCAAGGTCTCTCGGCTCTAGCAGGGGAATCAGCAGGTATATTTTACAGGAAGGCTGCCTCATCTGTCTTGACAGTCATCTCTTTGGGTCAGCAGCAAACTGACTCTGTGCTATGCACATGTTCTTTCCAACTGCAATTTTGGGAGTGGAGTGTGGTAGCAGCTGCTCTTTTGAACTCCCGTTTTGGAGAAAACTGAGGCCTAGAAAGAGAAGTTTGCCCAGGATCATCCAGGGAGAGAGATGCAGACCCAAGTCTGCCTATCACCTGCGGTAGAACCCGAGACCTGATTGTCTCTTTGATCCTGCTGTTGGTCGTCTTGCCTTGTGAATTCATTGTTTTTCCCTTCCACTTGTATCTCAATGAAGAAGTTTGTGATGTCAAAAAAAAAAAAAAAAAACCCACCTGTTTAGATTCAGTCCAACTAACCTGGTCCATCTATATGAAACAGTTTTATAATTCATATTTCATTCAGTTAATCACAACCCCAGTAAATGGTAGATGCCTTCAATCTTTTCTTTTCCCTTTAATGATTAATATTTCTTGTCAGGATCACCATGTAATGTCTACTCTTTAATGCTGCTTTTGAATGTCCACCTTACCTGCTCCCTACTCCCCATGGTCATTTGCAAGAACTAATGGAGCTACCTTTAAAGTCTAACCCAGTCTACTTTTTAGACTGCTAAAAAGTAGAAAAACTACTTTTCACCAGCTCTGTTGCGGTATTCCTAGTCCAAGTGAATATTTGACAAATAACGGTGCCATTAACCAAGATGGGGAAGTCTAAGGTAGCAAGTAGCATCAGAGGTTGAATCAACAATCCCCTTTAAAAAAAAAAAAAAGAATCCCCTTAAGTTTAATATCCTATAAGACATCCAAGGGGAGTTGATGAGTAGTTCATTATGAGTGGAGCCTCAGTCCAGGACTGGAATCGTCATGATTCCATTCTTACTGGAATGTAAGAATGGAGGTATTTAAAGTCATGGGAAGATCTGGGGTGATCAAGGAACATGAGAAATGTGGACAGGCCCTGTGCACTGCTCCATGGAGACCATGTGAGGAAGAGAAGTCACAGATGAGCCTGCCCAGGGGCGACCAGTGAGATGGAGCAGAAGGCAACCGGGGCAGGTGTGGCGTGTGATGGTGTTTCAGAAGGAGAGGTGTCAGCTGGCCCAGAGCTGCTGGGAAGTCACCTGGGGGGAGCACTGGGAAAGACACTCAGTGAGACGGGGATGTGTCAGGTATGTTCATAAAAGCCATTTGATGGCATGCAGAGGATGATAGCCTGATTGGGGTGGGCTGTGAGAGAAGGGACACAGGCAGGTACTATGGGCACCTCTCTAGGGATGTTTTGCTATAAATGGGAGCTATGGATCTGTCATTGAGGGGAGTTTGGGTCAGTCCCAGTTGATGCATGTTTAAGATTAGAGATGCTACAGCATGTTTGCTGAAGGCAATGACCCAGAAGACAGGGAAATTTTGGGGACACGGGAATTAGTGATAAAACATTAAGGAACAAAATCTGTGGCTGAGCAGGTGAAAGGCAGTGGGGAGGAGAGCCTGGAGGAGCAGGAAGGGGAGGGAGCACAGATGATGCTGGCAGGCTGGTGCATTTACAGCCTGGAGGAGGCAGGCATTCTCAGCATAACATTGGGAAATATAGGTAGGGTGTGAGTCATTCTCCTCATTTCTCAGATGATCAAATGAAGATGCAGTTAAAAGCCTCACACGTCAACAGCAGAGTTAAAGACTCAGCCCGAGTGTCCTGACTCCTAGTTTTGAACTGTTGATATTCCACCATGGTTTCTATGACAGTCCTTCGCATTGGGTGGAGCTGAAATTGATTCAGATCCAATTAGTCAGACTTGGAGCCTCCAGCCCAGGGTTCTCGGTCTGGCCCAATCGCTGGGCTCTGGGCGATAGTTATTGAACTTTACTCCAAGCCTGGGTTCCCTTGTCTCTAAGATGGAAGCACTCCTGACGGCCTGCCAGGTGGGTTATAAGAATCAAATGAAATAATATATGTGCCTGGTAAGTGGAAAAGTGCTTTCTCTATACTTCTGGGATGATGAGTCATGGGGTTGTAGCATAGGCTAAAGAGATCCAGAAACCTGCTAGGCAGAGCTATTTTAAAACATGTGGTAAAGACCAGAATATAAGCTTTTCCTTGCTTATGTAAGGAGCAGCTATTGTTAAACATCAGCTAGTTTGGAGTTGAAGTGAGCCGCTCTGTACTTGTAGTAATAGTGAGAATCATGCCACTTCAGAAACTGCTTGGAGGATGCCGGTCTGTCAGCACCGACGGGAGAGGGGGCCAATGAGGAAAGGTGGGCGAACCTCTTAATGAATATTCAGACTTCAGCTTTGTCATCTGTTTCATCTTTCTTAGCAGTCTCTTTGCCCTTCTGTGTGACTCTGGACCCAAAGCACGTTCTTGTACATTATGATAGCACGTGGAGTTAAGAGCATGAGAACTGATTATATTGACTTGTATCTTATCCTTTAAAAATCGCCGTGGGGCTGGGAATTTTGTTTAGAATTTTAAAAGTGTAAGTAAACTACCACATGCAGGTTACTGCAATGTGAAGTTCATTCCAACTGAGAATTATACTACTCTGTGTGTATAAGTTTGAAACCTGCTACCTTCGAAAAGAGAATAGCTACCCACCCCAGTATTCTTGCCTGGAAAATTCCATGGACAGAGGAGTTGAACAGGGTTGGACACGACTGAGTGACTAACACACACACACACCTTATATCACATTGTATTATCACTGAATTAACCAAAGGTTATTCATGCCTTTGTGTACCTGTTATATACTGTGAAGGATGGAGTTTAGAAAGCTATTTAGTTTGTTTTAAAAGCCTGCTTTCCCTTCACAAATATTACTTGACTTCCAAGTACAGCTAAACATTGCAAGATTGATGACAATCTTCTTTGTAGGATTGATTTATTATCTCAACACTTTTCATGTTATATAAAATACTTTAAGTTTTTTGAATTTGTCTAACCTCTGGTCTTGAATTCATTGTAAGTTCTGTTTCTAATAGATACCGATCCATAATATTTGGCCTCTATAGGCTTTTGGTAAATAATAAAGTTTCTTATTTAGTAAAACACCTCAGAACAAATGTTACTGGCTTCAAGTCAGGAAACGAGAGAGCCAACAAATGTTGCTAGTAAGCATTATTAAAAGGACATTTAAAATATCTTCACTCAGTGGATAGCTGGACACTGTTCAGCCTTTCTTTACATGTGCTTGTTATTTCAAGTTTGTTCTGAAACTTCTTTGGTGAAAATATCTTGCTTCAAAATGTAAACGGAATTTCCCCTTTTATTTTAGGGGACTGATTCCACTGAAGCACCTGCCAAGCCAAAGAGAAGTTTTTATGCGGCGAGGGATTTGTACAAATATCGACACCAGTACCCAGTAAGACCATAGAATGATTTTTTTCTAAACTGTAAAATATTTCCCTTCCGTTTCTGTTATTTTATGGTGCCAATGAGCAAATGTACAAGGAAGGTCCTTGTGCCTTTTTTATGTGTCCATGTGCTGGAGATTGATTTATTTTTTCCTTTAGCAGAACTTCAAAGATATCCGATATCAAAATGACTTGAGCAATCTTCGTTTTTATAAGAATAAAATTCCATTTAAGCCCGATGGTGAGTAATCCGCTACCTTGGTAAAAAGCAAACTTTAAATAGTAGTAGTAGCACTAGCTATTTTGTTTACTCCCTGCTCGGTCCATTCTCAGCGTGCTGGTTGTTGTCTGGCTTGGCTCTGCCCTGCAGTCCATTGTGTCCCCAGAATCTAGACCCTTGAGCTGTGAGCATCCACTCGGCAGATTCTGGGGGAGTGACCTGAGGATTACCAGTTCCTTCCCACCACCTGTTTACAGTGGTGACTCCTATCTGGAAGGTAGTGGGGGCCATTTTTGTGAGAGGAAAAAAGGAGATTTCTAGAACCCTAGGGTATCAGATTATTAAGAAACAGTCGGGGAGAACAAATTCAGTTTCCTCAGTTTAAAGATGAAGTTGCTGGATCTTGATGCTGGAATGACTGGTTGGTTGGTTCACTCCATCATAGACTTGGGTCTCGGTTCCAGAATTTAGTGTTCCTTTCACTGTGCCATACCCCAAAAGTCTATAGAACATGATTGAATGTGATGTTCCTGTTGGGATCATCTTCCCTGTTGGCTTTCAGATTCAAGGCCAGGGAGCTAGAGGAGCCCCAGTTCAGCGTCTCAGTATCCTAGGGAGGGAACTTCACGCACTGCAGGTCTCCACACAACTCTGTCAGATAAGCCCGCCCTCCACAGCTCTGCAGGTGCCTTCCCAGGGTCTTTTCCAAACCTACAGTGAGAGGGTGCAGTCCCCATGGTACCTATGCCTGACTGCCCCTGGCACCAGACTGTGGTTCGTGGTGAGCATCCTCACTTTATCCAGGTCGAGCTGGAAAGATGGCTGCTCTCCACAGAGCCCTTGCCTCTGTGAGGTGACCAGATGGCCCTGGCTGCGGCTCTTGGCTCTCAGTGGAAACAGCCAAACTCACAGCAGAGTGAATCAGGGAATGAGCGTCATGGGCTGCAAAGCAGAACCAAGTTAGTTCTTGATGCACTGACTACCTGAAGAAATGCCTAAGGAGTTCCCTACGTTGTGCACTGGTAGACAAACCAGTTGGGGAGTAAGGTGTATTGCTGACATGGCCCGATCCACTTGATTTTAGTTAATTTCTGGTGTCCCAGAAGTCTGCCCTGATTTCAAAGGGACCCTCTAGGTGAAAATGCTCTGTTGTATTTACTAATGGTGGAAACTGCTTTATATACTAATTGAAATAAGATTAATTAATTGGTTTTTTAGGACCTGGGGTAAGAAAAACTTTTGAAGAAATGCAGTGGTAGATTGTTAATTTGACTCTGATGTGACTTTGATAAAATTTACCCAAAGGGATGCCTTCAAATACTGAACACATTAAAGACAGAGATAATGACAATGTTTAGCTTAATTTTTTTTGTATTTCTAACAGTGAATTTATTTTTGAGGTAGTAATTTAGAGCAATAACTTAAAACAATGAATTTTTTTTTTTGGTACTCTTTATCACAAAATTTATTGGGAAATCTTATAAGACGAGTGGGGGTCAGAAGTTTTAGGTATGGTCACATAAAATGTTATTCTAGTTTATTATATAAATTACATCAATTCACACTTTTCTCCCCAGTATGTGTGAACACACACACACACACATCACACTTGTTAGAAAGCATAAGTTTGCAATGACGTGTATTGGGTTGACCAAAAGTTTGTTAGGTTTTGAGTACAAATAAAAGGACTATTTTTCATTTTCACGAAGAACATATTGAAAAACATAGTCACTAACTGAGCGAACTTTTTGGCCAGCCCAATATTTTACTTATTAAGTAGGAGGAAGGGTAGATGGAAAGGGAAACAAATGGGAAATTATAGGGGTAAATCTCTTCAATAGGCTGAGGATTAAGTAGCAACGTTTTACCAAAAACCTTGAGCGTGAGGGTCTCTGATACAAACTGGTGACCTCTGGAGGAAACAGTAGTGAGATGAGCTATGTTTAGAATGGTATTATGTTGTTGTGTCTTTGTCTGTAAAATTGACTAAGGGGCTGCAGTCAATTGTGAGGACCTAGACAGACCTGGGAAGCAGAATTTTGCCCGAATAAGTTCTTCTAGGAGAAGGACAGGACGTGGTGAAGAAGAGGGCTTACGTTTCAGGACCATAAAGACCTGTGTTCCGCTCCTGGTTTTGCTGGTGTGTGACTGAGCAGATCTCACTGTTTCCTCAGTAGTAAGGAGGAGGAGCAATGCTCCAGAAATGCTGGGTTGAGACGGTGCTGGGCAGATTCAGCGGGCTGGCTGCACTGCAGACCCGGGTCCCGCCGCTAGGAAGCGCTCACCACCTTTGCCTTTGCTTTCTCTTTCCTCCTTTTCTGAATTCTCTTTGCATTCTCTCCCTCCCACCTTGGTCCCCTTCCTTCCTTTTGCCCAGGGTACATTTCATTTTTATTTGGTCTTGTACTTAAAGAACTCAGTGGCCCTCAAGGGCAGGGGCTGGCCAACTTTCTTTGTACAGGGCCAGAGAGTAAATATCCTCCGCTCTGTGGGCCATACCAGATCTGTTGTAATTACTGAGCTCCACTGTTTAAATACATAATACCTGAATGGATATGCATGGCTGTGTTCCAATAAAGCTTTATTTATAAAACAGGTGGCAGGCCATAGTTTGCCAGCTTCTACTTTGGAGTAACTGTCCAATAGAGTGTTCTGTGATTTGAGGTGCCATGATTTTTCATTTCCATTAGGCTTATTTCATCACTGAGTCTGTGGCATAGGGTTTTCACCTTATAAAGGCATTGCTCTTGTGTGCTGTTATTACGTTTTAAAAAGTTTTAACACAAAGCTTAAGTGATTCTGTCTCCAGATACCTTCGACAATGTTCTAACACCTGGTTCGTGTTCTGAATCTTTCCTCTTCAGGTGTTTACATTGAAGAAGTTCTCAATAAGTGGAAAGGGGACTATGAGAAGCTGGAACACAACCACACCTATATCCAATGGTCAGTCACCTGCTCTCTCTTGAACCGTGACCTGTTTAATCACGTGTGCTTCCCAGAGATCACTAATATACAAATATTATTTCTCTAAAACATAGGCTTTTCCCCCTGAGAGAACAAGGCTTGAACTTTTATGCTAAAGAACTAACTACCTATGAAATTGAGGTGAGGCAAGCTGATTTCATCTCATGCGAGTTAGCCAAATTAATGTTGCCGTTTGATGGCCCTGGTAACTCTGAGTCACTCTGCTGAATTTTCCTCTTTTCATTAGGAATTCAAGAAAACAAAGGAAGCAATTAGAAGATTCCTCCTGGCTTATAAAATGATGTTAGAGTTTTTTGGAATAAAGCTGATAGATAAAACTGGAAATGTTGCCCGGGCTGTTAACTGGCAGGAGAGGTTTCAGCATCTGAATGAGTAAGTACAGCCCCTGCAGTGAGTCCCCAAGGCACGGGATTTTCTCTGGGCTGGAATTCTCTATGGCACTTAGAGCCACAAGCAGATGGACCCATGGATTTGAATTCAAAAGCTCATCTGAAATGCATTTTATTCCCTGTTCTACATTCTAAAGCAAAACGAAATAACAACAGCAAAAAAAAAAAAAAAGAAACGATATTCCAGGTAGAAATATGGCTGCTTGGTTTCAAAACTGTTTACTCCTGCAGCCACTCTGCTGCCCACAACCAAGAGTAGCCTCACTCCCTGTTTATACGTGTTCTCTGCATTTGTGGTTGTTGTCTGTATAGGCTTTTCTAGACCCCGCTCCTAGGTTGTATGCTTCTGGTAGCTTGGACTGCTTCCCAGGCACTGTGCCTTCTTAGATCAAATCCATAACTGAGCCTATGACATATGCTGTAAGTCCCCTACCTATGAACCTTCCAGCTGTGAACTTTCAAAGGTGCAAATGTGTGTTCACATGTCCCGTGTTGTAAGTTCATTCATGGGTCTGGTGTACATTGTCACGTGTGTGCATCCTCTATAAGCGGCGGTGCTTTTGTGTGCGTTACTGAACAATACTGTATAGAGCATAGGAGTGCAGTATCTTTATTTCAAGCCCAGGATATCTGGAAGCAAGTATAAAAGCAGCAGTGGTGTGGGTGGTATTCTTTAAGGTACTGTACTGTAAGATTACAAATGTTTTATTTTTTGTGTTTTTTTATGTACTACTTGTATGAAAAGTTTTATAAACCTATTACAGTACAGTACTATATATCCAATTATATTAGTTGGATATCTAGGCTAACTTTGTTGGACTTCCAAACAAAATGGACTTAGAACATGCTCTTGGAGTGAACTCATTTGTATGTAGGGGACTTACTGTAAAAACCACTTTATAAGCCTGAGAGGTATTCATACATTTTAGAAAGAGAGAAAATTAGAATCATCACCTTATAGGTCAAAATTAGAAGCCCATTTTTGGTTAATAAATCCAAACACCTGTGAAGAAAATTTTAGCAGTTTATCCAGAACTGATTTTCTGTATTCTTTTGCTTAGATATTTATAACTTTCATTAATACTTATATCCCAATTAAAAATATTATTTTCTTTGCATGCAAACTGGCCTTTTTTTTTTCCTTCTTAATTATAGGGTGACTTATGAGCACTGGACTATAAAACCAACAACTTTAAAACATTTTTAGCACATTATAATTAGCTGAATGGGGCAAATACCAAGAGAAAAAAATTAAAACTAACCTCAAAAATATGTCTTTGCCCCAAACAGTATTTTGTACATGGAATAACTAATTTTTTGTTTGTATTTTTCTAAAACTTTGATCTTGATTTGGTAAAATGAGTAGAAGCATTAATGTTTGCTCCTTCTATTTACTTTATTATTTATAATCAACACTATTAAAATGGTGACTTGTAGTAAAACACTTAAAGATGTGGGCATAAAATTTTATGATCTTGACTAAAAGACCTGTTAACTCATAACTCAAGTTAAATTTGATTTATACAGAGCACTTTGGAGAAGGAAATGGCAACCCACTCCAGTATTCTTGCCTGGAGTATTCCATGGATGCAGGAGCCTGGTGGGCTACAGTCCATGGAGTCGCCAAGAGTCGGGCACAGTTTAACGACTAGGTGACGACAGGGCACTTACACTGAAGCCATGCAGAGAGCTCTCCCTGGACAGTTTCTAAGCACTGGTGTCGTACCCTCAAAGACAGCTGTGTGCAGGGAGTCTGTTGACGTGAAGGATGGCGAGAGCCAACCTTAGAAGAGAATCTGATGACGTCTCATCTTCTGTGTGCTCATGAATGTCATTTGAGAGAGCCTCCATTTCCAACTTGATTTTTTTTTTTTGTCTGCCTAAATCCTCCCTGGGGTTTAATTGTCTCCACCACTCTTAATTGGTGGTTGGAAGTAGAAGGCTTTCCTTAAATGAGTTTCTGACTTGAGACTCGGAGGGGAGCCTGACTGTTACCTGACCCTTCCCTCCCTGTCGTCTTTCCTTCTTCCCACCACCAGTTTTCCTTTCCATGGGTACTGCAGACAGCTTTTCCATGTGTTTTAATCTGCATAGTGTCTTGAGTCTTTTAGAGTAAGCAGGGAATTCACTGTGTCTATAGTAGTCCACCATGACCCGTCCGTCTTGGGTGGCCCCACACGGCATGACTTAGTTTCACTGAGTTAGACAAGACTGTGGTCCTGTGATCAGACTGGCTAGTTTTCTGTGGTTATGGTTTAATGTGTCTGCCCTCTGATGCCCTCTTGCAACACCTACTGTCTTACTTGGGTTTCTCTTACCTTGGACCTGGGGTATCTCTTCATGGCTGCTCCAGCAAAGCACAGCCATTGCTCCTTACCTTGGACGAGGGGTATCTCCTCACGGCCGCCCCTCCTGACCTTGAACCTGTAGTAGCTCCTCTTGGCCCTCCTGCACCCACACAGCCGCTGTCTGACAGAATGTGGTCCACTGGAGAAGGGAATGGCAAACCACTTCAGTATTCTTGCCTTGAGAACCCCGTGAACAGTATGAAAAGGCAAAATGGTAGGATGCCGAAAGAGGAACTCCCCAGGTTGGTAGGTGCCCAATATGCTACTGGAGATCAGTGGAGAAATAACTCCAGAAAGAATGAAGGGATGGAGCCAAAGCAAAAACAACACCCAGTTGTGGATGTGACTGGTGATAGAAGCAAGGTCTGATGCTGTAAAGAGCAATATTGCATAGGAACCTGGAATGTTAGGTCCATGAATCAAGGCAAATTGGAACTGGTCAAACAGGAGATGGCAAGAGTGAATGTCGACATTCTCGGAATCAGCGAACTAAAATGGACTGGAATGGGTGAATTTAGCTGAGATGACCATTATATCTACTACTGTGGGCTGTAATCCCTTAGAAGAAATGGAGTAGCCACCATGGTCAACAAAAGGGTCCGAAATGCAGTATTTGGATGCAATCTCAAAAATGACAGAATGATCTCTGTTCATTTCCAAGGCAAACCATTCAATATCATGGTAATCCAAGCCTATGCCCCAACCAGTAACACTGAAGAAGCTGAAGTTGAACAGTTCTATGAAGACCTACAAGACCTTTTAGAACTAACACCAAAAAAAGATGTCTTTTTCATTATAGGGGACTGGAATGCAAAAGTAGGAAGTCAAGAAACACCTGGAGTAACAGGAAAATTTGGCCTTGGAGTACGGAATGAAGCAGGGCAAAGGCTAATAGAGTTTTGTCAAGAGAACGCACTGGTCCTTCCAACAACACAAGAGAAGACTCTACACATGGACATCACCAGATGGTCAACACCGAAATCAGATTGATTATATTCTTTGCAGCCAAAGATGGAGAAGCTCTATACAGTCAGCAAAAACCAGACCAGGAGCTGACTGTGGTTCAGATCATGAACTCCTTATTGCCAAATTCAGACTTAAATTGAAGAAAGTAGGGAAAACCACTAGACCATTCAGGTATGACGTAAATCAAATCCCTTATGACTATACAGTGGAAGTGAGGAATAGATTTAAGGGACTAGATCTGATAGACAGAGTGCCTGATGAACTATGGATGGAGGTTCATGACATTGTACAGGAGACAGGGATCAAGACCTCCCCATGGAAAAGAAATGCAAAAAGGCAAAATGGTTGTCTGAGGATGCTTTACAAATAGCTGTGAAAAGAAGAGAAGCGAAAAGCAAAGGAGAAAAGGAAAGATATACCCATTTGAATGCAGAGTTCCAAAGAATCGCAAGGAGAGATAAGAACACCTTCCTCAGTGATCAATGCAAAGAAATAGAGGAAAACAACAGAATGGGAAAGACTAGAGATCTCTACAAGAAAATTAGAGATACCAAGGGAACATTTCATGCAGAGATGGGTTCGGTAAAGGACAGAAATGGTATGGACCTAACAGAAGCAGAAGATATTAAGAAGAGGTGGCAAGAATACACAGAAGAACTGTGCAGAAAAGATCTTCATGACCCAGATAGTCATGATGGTGTGATCACTCACCTAGAGCCAAACATCCTAGAATGTGAAGTCAGGTGGGCCTTAGAAAGCATCACTACGAACAAAGCTAGTGGAGGTGATGGAATTCCAGTTGAGCTATTTCAAACCCTGAAAGATGATGCTGTGAAAGTGCTGCACTCAATATGCCAGCAAATTTGGAAAACTCAGCAGTGGCCACAGGACTGGAAAAAGTCAGTTTTCATTCCAATCCCAAAGAAAGGCAATCCCAATGAATGCCCAAACTACCACACAATTGCACTCATCTCACATGCTAGTAAGGTAATGCTCAAAGTTCTCCAAAGCAGGCTTCAGCAATACGTGAACCGTGAACTTCCAGATGTTCAAGCTGGTTTTAGAAAAGGCAGAGGAACCAGAGATCAAATTGCCAACATCTGCTGGATTATCAAAAAAGCAAGAGAGTTCCAGAAAAACATCTATTTCTGCTTTATTGACTATACCAAAGCCTTTGACTGTGTGGATCACAATAAACTGTGGAAAATTCTGAAAGAGATGGGCATACCAGACCACCTGACCTGCCTCTTGAGAAACCTATATGCAGGTCAGGGAGCAACAGTTAGAACCGGACATGGAACAACAGACTGGTTCCAAATAGGAAAAGGAGTACGTCAAGGCTGTATATTGTCACCCTGCTTATTTAACTTATATGCAGGGTTAGTTAGTTCAGTCGCTCAGTCATGTCCGACTCTTTGTGACCCCATGAATTGCAGCACTCCAGGCCTCCCTGTCCATCACCAGCTCCCAGAGTCTACCCAAACCCATGCCCATCGAGTCGGTGATGCCATCCAGCCATCTCATCCTCTGTTGTCCCCTTCTCCTCCTGCCCCTAATCCCCCCCAGCATGAGGGTCTTTTTCAATGAGTACATCATGAGAAACGCTGGGCTGGAAGAAGCACAAGCTGGAATCAAGATTGCCAGGGGAAATATCAATAACCTCAGATATGTAGATGATACCACCCTTATGGCAGAAAGTGAAGAGGAACTAAAAAGCCTCTTGATGAAAGTGAAAGAGGAGAGTGAAAAAGTTGGCTTAAAGCTCAACATTCAGAAAACTAAGATCATGGCATCTGGTCCCATCACTTCATGGCAAACAGATGGGGAAACAGTGGAAACAGTGTCAGACTTTATTGTTTTGGGCTCCAAAATCACTGCAGATGGTGATTGCAGCCATGAAAACAAAAGACGTTTACTGCTTGGAAGGAAAGTTATGACTAACCTAGACAGCATATTAAAAAGCAGAGACATTACTTTGCCAACAAAGGTCCATCTAGTCAAGGCTATGCTTTTTCCAGTGGTCATGTATGGATATGAGAGTTGGACTGTGAAGAAAGCTGAGCACCAAAGAATTGATCCTTTTGAACTGTGGTGTTGGAGAAGACTCTTGAGAGTCCCTTGGACTGCAAGGAGATCCACCCAGGCCATCCTAAAGAAGCTCAGTCCTGGGTGTTCATTGGAAGGACGGATGCTGAAGCTGAAACTCCAATACTCTGGCCACCTCATGCGAAGAGTTGACTCACTGGAAAAGGCCCTGATGCTGGGAGGGATTGGGGGCAGGAGGAGAAGGCGACGACAGAGCGTGAGATGGCTGGATGGCATCACTGACTCGATGGACATGAGTTTGAGTAAATGCTGGGAGTTTGTGATGGACAGGGAGGCCTGGCGTGCTGCAGTTCATGGGGTTGCAAAGAGTTGGACACGACTGAGCAACTGAACTGGTAATAGTCCAGCAGAGAGAAATATTAAAAGAAAGTCAAGTGAAATAAAGGTTAGTGAACAAGTTCCCATGACTAAAAGAGGTGAAATATTTCAGCCTTTCTCACTGCCCTCACCTCTGTCTGCAAGCCCAGCTTGTCTGTTTTATCTGCTATGCCACCCCAGAATCTACACACATCATTAGGAGAGTGGAGGTGTTTTGTATTTCTTGGTGACATTTGTTTCAGATCATACTGAAACACCCAGTTTCTTTCCTGTATAATTCTGTTCCATAATCCTGATCTTTATTCACTTTAACCCAAGTGTTTGTCCTTTTCTACTGTTATGTAAACTTTTAAATTGGAGAATGTGTTGATAGAGAAAATTTTATCTTGGTCATTCATCTTGGATTGGATGTGTGAAATTGAGCTTCTTGCAAATATAGTAAATTTTGTTGTGTCATATAACTCTTCTTTGGGATTTTTAAAGGAAAATATTGTTCCAGTTTACCATGCCTCTCTCTGTCATAAACTTAGGAAGCAGATGTTGGGATTTCACTACCAAGTTATTAGACTATGTAGCGAAAGTGAAAGTGTTAGTCGCTTAGCTATGTCTGACTCTTTGTGACCCCACGGACTCTAGCCTGCCAGGCTTTTCTGTCCATGGAATTCTCCAGGCAAGAATACTGGAGTGTGTAGCCACGGCCTGTCTACAGGGGATCTTCCAGACCCAGGAATCGAACCTGGGTCTCCCTCATTGCAGGCAGATTCTTCACCGTCTGAACCACTGGGGATGCCTGACTATGTAGATGCTACCCTAACCTAACTACTAGGTTGTCCTGCTGATAATGGCACCTTGTCTTAACTTCACTCAAATTGGTATTGTCTCAAAAGACTGGTACTTGATTCATAAAACTGAAGCATTATCTGTGCTGTTTTATCCTTTGGCCTTCAAAGAGTTGACTATTGGGAGAACACTACTTTGGTAAATACCCAGAAAGATGGAAACATTGAAAACTGTGGTACTTGTCTTTTCCAACATTTGCTGAGCCCGAATTGTTCAGGGTTTGTTTAGTTTTGTCCAAACTAACTCTCAAACTCTAAGGTCATGGAACCACACCCTTCCACTCCTCAAATAATTCAGCATCCTTCTTCACTCTACGCAAATAAGTTGCTAGTGATTCCTAAGTGAATACCAAGCATTTGTGGAAGCCAAGGCAGGTATATGTGATGCTTGTAGAAAGTTCAGTATCTGGGGTGTAAGGAGGTTTAGGGAAGTTAGGAATAAGTGGTGGTTGTGGGGCAGTTTTGGGTGAATAACTCACCTGGGCTGTTGACGACACGTGATTAACACCTGGACCTGAGGATTCCTTTTGGACACGGCCAGGTATTTGTAATAAAACAACTCTTGGGCTGAGTGAGGTCAGGGAGGTGAGATTATGAATTGTGACAGAATAGGCTTGGAAGGCTTTCATCTAATAATGCCCTTCGTTTTCAGACAAAGGAGATATTAGTGCAATCTGGGGAAAGAAGCATCTTTGGAATCAGTGGCATTAAAAGCAAAATTGTCAATTCTGTGATAGGGAAAGATGAGGTGAGAGAGGTCACAGATGGAAAAGGGTTGGGGTGATTATGTTATGATAGGTATAAGTGTGGTGGGCCTTAGTATACCAGCACCACTATTTATATGGTTAAATAGTGTCTATTATTTAAGTTTCACATTGTCAGCTTATGGGTCAATTCGTTTGATTCTTACAAGCTCAGGGAGGTGTGGCCCTTTTCCCCGTCTACAGACTGGGATGCTGAGCCTTTGAGATGCCATCATTTTACACAGCTGCAGGTGCAGAGCCAGGATGTGAGTTCAGTTCTGACTCCAAAACCCACACTCTCTGCTGTGCTAAATAAATCCGTTTTGCATCCTTTGTCAGAACTGTTCTAGCCAGGTAGAATGGCTTTTGCTGCTTTCCTTCCGAGTTGGTTCTTATGGTGGATTCTGCAGACCAGCTGAGCCTGGAAGTCATACATTTGGCTGGTAGCTAATGCCCAGCACTGGTTTACCTGTGACAGGAATGATACCTTTGTGTAGTCGATATTCAACCGCACTGTGTTTTATAAGTAATAATTCAACATCTGTGAGGATACATTTTAAATCTAAATGTTTTTCAAACGTGAAGACCTAACAAACCAGGGAGAATTTATTTTATATATTTGAGTTTTATATCGATTGGCATTACACTGAGGTACAGAGGTTTAATACCTTCTGTTTTACGCTTCTTCGTGGAGTCTAATGCTCCTTTTAGCAAAGTCATTACAAGGCATGTTTTCATGGTTTACAGTTGCATCAAAAGTATTTTCCCGGTGGTTTTCATTCCCAGGCTTCTTTCCCCACCTAATTTTCTTCCTTCATTTTATTCAACCTGCTTCCAGGTCTCAGCACAACTATTTGAGGATCACTCGTATTCTGAAAAGCCTCGGCGAGCTGGGATATGAAAGTTTTAAATCTCCTCTTGTGAAATTTATCCTTCATGAGGCTCTGGTGGAAAATACTATTCCCAATATTAAACAGAGTGCGCTGGAGTATTTCGTGTACACAATTAGAGACAGAAGGGAGAGGAGAAAGCTCCTACGGTTTGCCCAGAAACATTACACGCCCTCGGAGAATTTTATCTGGGGACCCCCGAGGAAGGCACAGCCCGAGGGCAGCAAAGCTCAGAAGCCCCCTGGCCCGCCCACCGCTGCGCAGCAAGGCCAGACGTCCATGCACAAAAAACCCAAAGAGTCCAAAAACGCCTCCTCAGCCGCGCACGGAGTCAGCAAAGCAGCCGAAGACAAAAAAGTGGCCTCTAAGGAGGCAGCCGAAGAGACGGACAAGCCCAGGGCGGAGCCAGGCAGCGAGGCCGCTCAGCCCGGAGAGCCAGAGCAGGACGGGGCTGCGGACGATTCCAGTCCTCGGGCAGAACAGACGGTTACTCACCCCGAGGAGCAAAAGGAGAACGCGTCTCCCTCTGAGAAGGATGAGGCGGCTGACAGCCGGAGCCAGGACGGTGGGAGTCCGGGCGATGCGGGTGCCCATGACGCCGCCGCGTTGCCCTGAATCATCAGAAGGCCCGCGCGCCTGTGCGCCCGCGGAGGCGAGGCTGTGGCGGGTCCTGAGAAGCAAGGCCGCCTTTCCCGGCGCAGCTGGCTGTCGCTGGTTTCTGTGGTCAGCTGGATTTTAGTCTGGATGGCTGTGAATTTAATATTTAAAAGGAAGTCTGAAGACGAGACTCAATGAATGAGTGTCTCCTGTAACACTTTGGGGATGTGAGTTTTCGCATCCCGTACACAATTCCTTTAAATTATTTTCAGTGTATCTGGAAGTAATCATGGAGTCTTTGATATAACTGAGATAAGAATCAGTTCTTGGAGTGGACCGTACTATACCTGGAGGAAATTGAGAGGATAATTTCATTATGTGGCCACACCTTTGCCGCATTTAAAAGTTCCTATGTTTAAGCTGCAAGAAAGAATTTGGTCTTCTTTGAGATAATCAGGAAGGAATTTGGATTTTTTTTTTTTTTTTTTTTCCAGCACCGCAGCGTGTTTGCTTCTGGTTCTGGTAAGGAGGTGGATGTCCTTGGGGACTTGGAATCACCTTCCCCTGCGTGTCAGTCCCGCCGTCTTTCCTGTCCTCTGTCTCCACCCTTGGCCTCCTTCTCATCAGCCACCCGTGTCGGCCAGCACGTGTGTTTCTACTGTTGACATCTAGACATTCAGATGGTCTCCTACAGTGATATTTGCACGGGCCGGAAGGGACTGTCAACTGTATGATTTCAAGAATTTGCTTTGTTTCAAATAATAAACATGTGTTTCTGTATTAACGTACTTAAAAACAAATTTTGATGCAAAAGTCCAAGAAGAAAATCATGCCTTTTATGGCTGTTCCACATAAATTTGGTGCTTGTGTCTGAATGCAAATGACTAAAGAATTAAAAAATAAGAGAGGAAATTATTCATTTTTAAAATGCATGCATTTTGTACTGGCAACAAGGCAGTGGTCCCTGAAACCGTGAATATCTCAGTGTTATGTGGACTATGAAGTTCATATCGCTTAGCCCACAGGGTATCTGTAAAAAAAAAAAAAAGATACAATTTGCTGCATCTCAGTTGTCAGGCCTTGAATTTGAGAGTAGATCTGACATCCCATGTATTCAGTTTTAGTAAGCACAGAATGTGTCAAAATTGGGTAAGAGCAAATAGCTTTATTTCCTATAATATTGTTACTAATTATTATAACACATTAGAAAACAAACACTGTGGCAAAAACTTCAGCATACCTACAAATACAGTGAAAGTAATTAATAGACCTTTTTTTTAAACTTCATTTCATTTAGAAAGAAATTGCCTTTGTGTGTTTCTTAGGCCTTTAAGGGAAAATCTATTCACTTTAACCCCCAAAGAATTTTTACTATGTTTACTCTGTCCTGTTTTTTAATCTCATCATATCTTCTGTTACCTTTATTAATCAGAGGATTTTTAGCAGAGGATTTCTAGAAAATAAACACACCAATAGTATGCTTTAGAAGGATTTTATTGCCTTGAAATTTACATGAAATATCACTAATTCTCAAATCTGACTAATTTTTTATGGATGTTAGTAACGTGTTATATATGTATTCCAATAAATATAGAATATTTTCTCATTATTAGTTTCTCATAATTCACCAGTTTTATGTTTCTTCTGTTTTTTGAAGTGAGCATTAGGATTTGGGAAACAATTCTGCTTTTGGATTTCAGTTCCTTTTTTTTACTTTAATGTAAAAAAGGATTTCTTTCATGGCCCCATTCTTTCTTTAATGGCCTCATCGAGCTCATTAAGCAGTTTTGCAGGGTTAGGGCATGAGAGTAGTTTGTCATATTGGGCTGAATTGTAGAAATATAATACATTGGAAATATCTTACCAATTTTGCATACATGATAAAGTGTTCATACCACTTTCTAAGTATATAATGTTAAAATTTTGTGACCAGATATTAAAATATTAATAAGCAGCAGACTGATACTAAAATGGGTATAATCTGAATTACTTAGAAGCTAGTAGTATATCAGAGCCCTTAGAAGTAAAAATGTTTCATTCAATAATTTAACTTTTAGAATATTCCTAATTAGGGATTTGATTAGTTGTACCATTTAATTTGAGACTATTTAGTCTCAAGGGAAAAACTGCCTAGCTTCTGTTTAAAACAGTGGCCTTTTTCTACCATGCTGGTTTTGAAAGGTATGTTCACATGTAACAGTATCAGTTCTACATTTAATCTGTAAATAACTTATGAGAGAATTCTTCAGTGGAAGAAGTGAGAGAGTGCCATTCCTTTTGCATATAAAAATTACAAACACCTAAATTTTTTTTCTATTAAGAATATTTTGTACATTCAGTAGTTTTAAAATAAGATCTATAGGTGTGTCTTTATGTGTGTGTTAGACATGAAACAGCCCTCTGGGTTTGACTCTGATGTGTTGTATTTTAAAAAACTACTATGTGCTTGCAGAAACTTACTGAGAAGCTATTATAAAAATGCGGTGGAGCATGGCCAAATAGCTAGAAACTATTGAACTTTTGCAATTCTATAGACTTTATCATTGTACCATGGACTGTGAGGATATTCAGTATTGGCTATTGATAAAATACTAATTTGCGTTTCATGGCAAATAGATGTTATACTGCTTGGTTAGTCTAGTATATTTCTAATATTTTGTGCATTCATATCCCAAAGGAGATAATATATGTGAAAATATTTTGAAATACTATAAAGTGTTATATAATGATAAGATATATTTCTGTACAGTAGAGAAAAAGTTTATAACATTAAGAATATGATACCATTATACATTCTCATGCTCAATCTTATAAGAAACGGAAAAGAATAATGACAACTGAAAATTTGTCTGCTTTCTCTAAGTCAGGTCCACTTCTAAGTTCAAAATTATATGATATAGCTTTATTTTGAATTTTAGTTGTGATAAAAAGCTTTTTTTCAGCATCAAGGAGAAAACAGAACTTATAACTCGGGAGTTAGCAGAGAAGTTACAAGATTTTTTTTTGCCAAGTCTTAAAAATATAAATGTTATGTTTACATAATTATCTACTTTGTTTCTAGTTTTTATACTTTAATCTAACAGAAGGAATTATCTGGCGAAAAAGGAAAACAATACAGTGTTACATCTGAGTCACTCTTTAGAAAATCATTTTAGTAAGTAAACATCCATATCAAAGTGGTCAAAAATTGATTGACCCGATAGAGAGACTATTTGGTTAATTGTTTAAAGTTAAATTTCCCTAGTTTATAGTAGAGCTATGTTTGATTTATAATCTACTGAGCAACTAAATCAACCCTTTTATTTTGCCTTTCTATAATTGAGGCTCTTATAAAAGCTTTATTTTCTAATCTGAGGAAAGGACAGTCTTGATCTTGCTTGGTTCTAATTGCATCTGTGGGCTCTCAAGTTTATTTGGGGTGAGCAGGGATTCTTTGTTATAGGAATAGTTTTGAAGATTTCTATTTTGTTTCCCACTTTAAAAATACCCATTTTGTTTTCTTCTGGGGTATTTCTGTTACATGTAAGGTAAGCTGGAGTTAGACACACTGGAAATCATTTCAAATGTAGGTGTAGTTGTATAGACAGATGGCATGTGTTAGTAGAACATAGAAAGTTAGGGTGTACACGTGTTGATGTCTTTTACATCTGATTCTCTTTGTTCCACGAGCAGATCTGTGTGGGCATCTCTAGGCTAACAGTGAGTACATCCTGCCTCCTCCCATGTTCTAGCCCACCCAGCAGACTATGCTGGGGGACAGACTGTATTTTAGAAATTCCTAATTACTGAGGTTGATAATAATACAGTGATAAATAAATGAATGCCTGGGGGTGTCCAGATGTGCTTTAACTAATGTGATCAGGCTTTCATTCAGAAGTTTAAATTTTTACTCCATTATAAAATCTTGCCATAAGGAACATTCCAAACCATGAAGATCAGTTATTTTAGTGAAATTTACTTTGGTTGGTGCTTTTTCATTTTGGAGACATTTCCATTTGTATCAGTAACATCAGTTCAAAAGTGAGTGTACTAGCCACAGTGTTCAAACATGTGTTATATTTGACAAAAGGCCTTTACAGTAAGAAAGATTAGCTAAATTGTTACATTTATTTATGCATCTCCCTAATTTTTCTACATGCTGTAATTTTCACTATAAACATCTGTCAGTTTCTACAAGTAATATTTATCTGTCTTTTGTTTTTAGATGCAGATGGATGTAGAAAATGGGATTAGAGAAATGATTTAAAAGTTTAATTCCAATAGATGTTTGGAGGAATCTGAAATTAATTTGGACTTTGATACTGTAGTTTTATTAGAAACACTTAAACAGTACTGTTCTTGCTTTTTACCTTCGGTTGGAGGAAATATTTTTTGTCATCTGCTTTTTTTCTTCTTTTGTTGAGAAGTTTATTGTTTTAATTATTTGTGGGAAATGGCTTCTTAATATGTTTGTTTCCTTGAATTAACATGCTTGTGTGGAGGATACAATTAACTGCTTTGTTTTATGGTCCAAACTCTGCGTGGGGGTTGAGTTCAGAGGAGGGGAGGTGGCTGAGAACCAGAGAAGGCATCTGGGTGAAGGGGAGCTGACCCTGGGTGCAGCCCCTCCAGTGGAGGAAGGGTCCCTGGAACGTCCTCTGAGTGACCAGGGTCTCGGTCTGTGATTGCTGACTTCTGAGGAGTGGGGGCCACCTTGGACTTCATACACTGGTTCAGTGGGTATCAGTTTTCAGAAAAATACCTGTTGTAGGTTCATTTGCCACCATTTTGTAGTTGTTTAGAAAATTGTGAGTAATTGGACACCTGCTGTGTAGATTACAGCTCAATGTATCTCAGGAAACTGACATACCAGTTCTGCCTATCCCGCCCCCCCAGTTCAAAACTCCTGATCTCCAATCAAAAATTGCTTGGGTTGTTCTTTCAGACGCCTCTGTATAAAAGTCTTCATAAAATGGTTCAATGTAAAGATGAAAGGAAAAAGGCACCAGTGCTGTCTTGTTATGCTGAAAGACCTTTTT